CTTAGTCTTATTGTTTCTCCTCTGTATGTGACTTCTTGTTTTTCACGAGCTGCTCTCAGGATTCTTTGTTTGTCTTTGGTTTTGGCGAGTATGATTATGATATGCCTTGGTGATTTTCTTTTGGGGTCTATCCTATATGGGGTTCGTTGAGCTTCTTGGATGGCCAGATTTTCATCTTTAATGATATTGGGGAAGTTTTCTGTCAAAAGTTCTTCAATGATCCTCTCTGTGTTTTCTGTTTTCTCCCCCGGTTCTGGAACTCCAATTATTCACAAATTTTTGCTTTTGATTGTATCCCACATAACTCGCAGTGTCTCTTCATTTTTCTTTGTTCTTTTTTCTGAGTTTTCCTCAAACAGAGTTGTATCCAAGTGTTTGTCTTCAATTCCACTGATCCTGCTTCTCAGCCCTTCTATGACACCGTCCATTTCTGAAATCTTGTTGTTTATCTTTTGGATTTCTAATTGTTTTTTTTGTAGAATTTCTAGTTGTGAATTTATTTTGGCATTTTGTTCCTGCATTATTTTCCTGAATTCCAATTTTTTGTCTGTATTTTCCATGAATTTTTCTATTTTTTCCTCATTTTTGTCTGCTTTTTGCTTCAGCTCTTAGAGAATTCTGAGTATTAGAGATGTGAATTCCCTGTCATGTAGTTCTAGTGCCTTTTCTTCCACTGGAAAGCCATCTGGTGTTTTATTTTGGATGCCTACTGGAACCATCCTGTCCTGTTTTTGTAAATGTTTTGATATTGTCTGCTGTCTTCGGGGCATTCAATAGTTATTTTTCTCATTTATTGATTGTAGAATTGTTTGTTTCATCCGTTTTTGTTTTTTTTTTAAATTTGGTTATGTCTGAGCAGGCGGGCTGTGTGTTCTTTGTTGTTTGCTTGTCTGTGGGCACAATACTTTTCACCTCCTTCTCCAATTGGCAGGGTCAGTCACTCAGATATTGTATGGCAGGACAGGTCTAGCTGAAGAGGAGTTACCAGGATGGGTCGTTTGTGGCACTTACTACAGCCACCACGGTGGGACGGTAATCAGTGCAGGGCAGGTTCCAGTAGGCCATGCCTGTGCTGCTTGGTGGTGTGATGTTAAGCGCACAGTGCAGGTAGGCAGGATGTAGCGGGGACATTGTTATGTGTGGAGTTAAGATGGATATGGGAGAGAGGACAGAGGAACAGGAGCCAAAAACATACAAAGAAACAAAAAGGAATGCTAGGGGAGCTTGCCTTTGGAGTGGAGAGACGAGAGACTATGAAATGGAGAAAAACAAAAAGGGGAAGAGGAAGAAAAAAAAGAAAAGGGAAGAATGAATAAATAAAAATCAGAAAGGGAAAAGAACAGCAAAGTTTCCAGGGATTGCACCTGTGCAGTTATGAGGTCTGGGGA